GGCCTGCATGAAGAATTCATGCATCGCCACATTCTGAGCGGTGATGTCCCTCATTCCGACAGCTATTTGAGCCATTCCTTCAGTGAGCGCTGCTATCTTGTTGCCTCGGTGACGTTGGTGATGGGGTCTCTGATGCGTTACATTGGTCCTGATTACCTCTTCTTCAAAAGCATTCTTGTGCCCTTCAAAATTTTCATCTTCATTACTATAACTCATTTTGTTTGTCCTTTCAAGGGTGTTAAGAACCTTGTAGGTTGACCTTGTTCTTTTTCAAGAACGTGCCTTTTTTAGGGTAAGTCGATGGTTTGCTGGTGGCTTTTTTGGTGGACAATGTGGAACTTTTGGGCAGAAAGTTCCCACAGACGGTGCCAATCGTTGACCTCGAGAATTGGACCCTTTACGTGGCCAACGGATTGCTACTCCACGTAATCCTCCATGCGCACAACAACGCACGGTCAGAAGTACACGGTCGAAACCATCAGTGGTGGTGGCGATCGCATACACTTTGACGGTCAAGTCAGCATTGGGTGATCGGAATAGTGCTCAAGTTATGCAAGAGTGGGGAGGAGAATATATATTACTTAGTATAGAGAGCTAAGTTATAAGAGTTTCATTGCCTTTGTCTCTTGCCAAAACTTGGGTATTTATAGGGGTAAAACACTGCTGGATGTGGGACACGTGTATTTATCTAACGATGTGAGGCATCCGCTCATAGGCGTCAATCAACCACATCTAGATGGGCGGGTAATTAGTTCTTTTGAGTTGAGTTGATATAAAGTTGATAAGTCACATCAACTAGACCTATGAAGATGTCACATCAATTGATCTTTAGAGGCAGAGGGGAACCTGACAGATATCTTTGTGACAATAGCGGTGGAGGGAGCTGTTAAGGGAGTGTCTTGGAGTGCTCAATGCTTTGAAATTGAGGGACACTTTGATTGCTTTAATGGATCTACTCTTCACTTGCAGCGTGCCATGTTGAGGTCGTCAGAAGTGGGCACCACTTCGGGCGAACATGTGGAACTTCGTGGAGTGGCGTGACTATTTGTTTCGAAGTGGTTTAGATGTGGGATGGAACGTGGGTGGTGTGACTGTTGTTTCGAAGTGGTTTAGTTAGGGGTGTAACACCATCAAAACTCTTGGAGCTGCCATTGCAATTCTAGGAACTTTCTTGTATTCACAGGCAAAGCAGTAAGAAATAGAATTCGAAATTCAGTTTGGTTGAGTTACATGAACTGGATAGAAGTAGCTGTCAAGATTCATGCTGCTTGAAGATCAATAAAGTTTCATTATTCTCAAACACTTGGAATGGTCCATCTTTTCTCGATTGCAGCTTTATCTCCTTTTGAGTCGAAAAAACTGCCTTTCTTATAAGCACCCAAACCTAATCTCCTGGTTCAAATGTAACACACTTTCACCCTTTATTTGCTTGAGAAGCATAATGTTCATTTTTCTTAATTTGGCTCCGTACTTTCTCATGAAGGGATCTTACCAACTTGGCCTTCTTCTTCCCATCAAAACTATCTCTTTCATCAATAGGTAAAAAAATTAAATCCAAAAGGTGTTAGTGGATTGAAACCATAAACAATTTCAAATGAAGTATAAGAGTAGTAGAATGTGTTGCCCAATTATATGAAAATTCTATGAATAGCAAGCATCTAATTGACTATAGTGCACAATAGTTGTATCATAGTCCTATTAACAATCTCAATTTGCCCATTTGTTTGTGAGTGACAAGTTGTAGAAAATAATAGCTTAGTTCCTAACTTACTCTACAAAATCTTCCAAAAATTTCTAAGGAACTTAACATCGCTACCCGATATAATACTTCTAGGTACCTATGTAAATGCACCAATATCTTAAAGAATAATCCACAATATTAGTAGCATCATTAGTTTTTTGACATGGAATAAAATGTGACATCTTTACTAAATCTACCTGCCTCCACAAATATGAAATCTCTTTTTTCCATAGACCTAGGTAAACCCAACGCAAAATTCATAAACACATCAACCAAGGCTCACTAGGAATAGGTAATGGTAAATAAAAACATTGTGGTAAAACATTAGACTCAGCCTTTTTACAAGTGATACATCTACTATAAAGTTGATCAACATCAACTCTCATCTTAGGCTAATAGAAGTGTTCATTTAACATCTCAGAGGTTTTCTTAATCCTAAAGTAGCCCATTAAATTTCCATTATATACTTCACGTGCTAACAATTCTCTCATTGAACATCTAGGTACACATAACTTATTCTCTCAAAATAAATATCCATCATGCTTAAAGAATCTATCTATAGCGTCTTTACCCCATGATTCATATATATTAGAAAAGTTCAAGTCGTTAGAATACATGTCCTTAACATATTCAAATCCTATTAATTTGTCACCTAAAAAAGTAAGAAGTACATACCTTCCTGGTAATGTATACCGAATAACATACGGAAAGGTCTCGATGAATTCCATCCACCTTGCATGCCTTCTATTTACTTTACCTTGGCCTTTTAGATGCTTCAAGGACTTACTGTTTGTGTGGATCACGAACTCCTTTGGCCATAAGTAGTACTGCCATGTCTCCAAAGTTTGAATGAATACATACAACTCCTTGTCATATGTAGGATAGTTGAGATCTACTTCACTTAGCTTTTCACTAAAGTAATATATTGGCAAATAGCTTCAATGCTTATTCCCATGACGTCACATTCAATCTCAAAAGTATTGCTAAAGTTAGGTTGAGATAAAATCAGTACAATATACAGCCTATCCTTAATAGTTTTAAAAGCGTGTTCTTGTTCAACGTCCCAATGAAATCCTCACTTTTCTTTACAATCTCCTTCAGTGGTGTGGCGATTGTGCTAAAGTCTCCAACAAAACACCTATAAAGGCTAGCCAAACCATGAAAACTTCTTACCTCTGCTATGCTTTTTGGTGTTTGTCACTTCTTGATGGCTTTAATTTTCTCCCCATCTATGTCAATTCCTTTATAACTAACAACATAAACAAGAAAATAACATTTTTCATGCAAAATGTACACTTTTTAAAGTTATCATAAATTTGTTTTTGTCTTAAGACCACAAGTGCACATTTTAAATGTCCTATATGCTCATTTAAATCCTTATTGTATACCAAGATGTCATCCAAGTAAACTATTACGAATTTACCTATAAATGCACACAAGACGTGATTCATTAATCTCATAAAAGTGTTAAGTACACTATACACTTATTTTGGCTACGAGATAATAATAATTGTGGGAAAATATATTGGAATAGGGCTTAATTCTATATTAATTATGTTTTGCAAGACAACATTGATGAATATGGTGGAAATTAGGAGAAACAATGAAAAAAGACTAAAATCAAAGAAAATCAGAGTTCAGATATCAAAGTACAAATAGCCAAAAGATGATCCAAAAGAAATAACGAAGACATGAAAGAGTCGAAGACCAATTGAGTGAATAAATGAAGTATTTGGAAGAAGAAAAGCAAGAAAAGAGATCAAGAAATGAGAAAACAGAGTTCGGGGACTAAAAGGCAAAAATTGGATCTTTGCCTATACTAGGTAAAGCATAGTACATGTATCCATGCGGTTGCAGAGTGGCCAACAGAAATCCAGTGTTGGAGTTTGTTGAACTATGCTAGCGTGCGATTGTGCTATGATATAGCATAAAACATTTTTGAAGGAAAATTTCTGGTTTCCTTGTATGACTTCAAACACTGATGGAAACAATATTTGGAATGTCTTTTAATGTGCTAGGGCCACCCACAAGTAGTGAACCACGTATTACAACACATTCCAAGAGATTTTAGGAGCATACAAGGAGGCAAAAAACACGAAGATCGATTCCAAGACTCGAAGATTCAATTCAAGATTTATTTTGGTGATATCGATTCTCTTACATTTCTTTTGTTTTCTTCTTCCTAAAATATTAGGCTAGACTTCTTTGTGTTAGGAGAACGTTGAACCGTGTAATGTGAGTTTTAATTTTTAGTTTTACCAATTTTCATATTGAAAATATGTTTTTAGATATTGGGTGATTTATATGATTTTCTTTTCTCCAAAATTATTGATCATGGTAGTTGTATGAAAGTGGTGGCTTATTTTATGCATTCAAAAGAAGGAAAATAGGCTCAACATGGTATAGATCATCATAGGATCTAATAGGGGATAGAAATATAATGCTATACCTTATATGAATCTTTAAGTGTTCATAAAAAATTCATTCATTCTCGTATGTTCACATCAGTCATAGAAATATTGTCATGTCATAAATGAGAATATGTTTGACATTACTCGAGAGAGATTGTTGAATAAAATGGGAACATTGATTCATCAAAATTCAATCGTGTTGTCAAAGTGTAAAACTAAAGTTATAACATTTGTCATTCATTAGAACACATTAACTTTTATCTAGCATAATTAGCATTTAGTTAGATAAATTCACTCATAATTGCATAAGTAACTTATTTTAATTATAATTTTATCCCAAACAAATGCATCTTTTTATTCTTGTTTCGGTTAAGTTGAGGAATTAAAATTGAACTAAATCAATATCTGTGAGACGATAGTTGGATTCACATCCACTTTATTACTTGTTAACAAATCATGCACTTGCGTTGATTTTAAATCGAAAAATATCTTCATGACCAAATTTTTGGTGTCGTTGTCAGGGATTGATTTTTAGTTTAATTTTATTTACCTTGACACTAATTCAGACTTCTACCTATAATCTTGTATTGTCATTTTGGTTTATTTTTTTCTTTTTTCTATTTTTTTAGGATATATAAAAGAACAAAAATAGCAGAATAAAAAGATGACCGTTGTTGTTTTAAACAAAATGCTCGTCTGTAACTTCATCATAAGACAACAACAATTAGCAGCTCAATAGCCATGGCAATGGGGTGGGTTCGGGGCGGGGCAGGGCAGGGCAGAATCATGCCCCATTTTTTTCCCCCTTTTTTTCCTCCCCCCTCAATTTCACAATTTGAAAACGCCAACATCCAAATTAAATATTCGAAACAAACAAAATCCAAAAATAAATACTTAAAAATACAATTACATTGTAACTATTTTTCACTTCTTTATCCAAAAATAAATTTGATATTTTTCCATCTTTATAACTTCATTCATCGACAGGTTCAGAGATTGTAGAAGATGGATCCTGAAAAACGAAGAAATATTATACTCAATATCGTCAAAATAACTACGATTAAAATTTAAATTATGTTATAAATAAAATTACCTCCTCATCAACATCCTCATCATTCACCATGGAGCAACTTCCAAAATATGCAGACGGTGCAGAATTTCCTATTAATAAAATAAAATAATTAGTAATAAGAAAATTCATAAAAGAAACAATATAAAAAGCAAATATTTATATCCATCGTATCGTGAATATCGGTCCATAACCAATCTTGAGCACACATTTAAGCCTCCAAATTTTTGGGGTGAAGTCAATTTCTGTGTGGACTAACAAATCTACCACTAGTACTGAAAGCAGTTTCGGATGCCACAGTAGATACCGGGATGGCTAAAATATCTTTTGCAATAAGAGCTAAAGTCGGATATTTGATTGAATCCACTTTCCACCATGTCAATATATCAAAATCATCCGACTGAGACAATATAGGCTCATCCAAAAAAGTATCAAGCTCAGTTTTCACACTACTAGGAGCTTCAACATTGAAACAAACTTATAAAAATCCACCATGCGATCTGATTTATTCTTAGCACTTGACATCTCGGTTTGACAAGAAGAAGTAGAAGACTGAGATATAGACCCACTTGAATCATTCTTTTTCTGATAATCATGAGCCAACTTGCCACAAACTTGATATATTTTGTCAATCTCACTTGCAGCATTGTGATTAAAAATACAAGGATAATAAAACTTAACTAACATCATCTTATACCTCGGATCCAGCACTGTTGCTAAAGCCAAAACTCCATGAATATTGCTCCAATACTTATTGAACTTTTCCATCATACTGGTTACCATCATTTGAACTTCCATGTATGGAGATTCAAGCCACTCATACAACGACAGTTTGATATCACAAACATTTGCAAAGAAGAGATTAGCAGTTGGATACTTTGTTCCTGAAAATAATTCAGTAACCTAAAAAAAAAAAAAAAACCTTTAACTTCTCACATATTTCTTTTGCTAAATCCCAATCACCATCACTAGGGTAACATGTATATCGTGACTCCCTCTGTTTCAAACGCGAAAAAACATCCTTATAAATCAAAGCAGTACTAAGCATCAAATACGTC